GGGGCTCCCGAGGGTCAAGGGCTTTTGAGGATCCACTAGGATGTCCCGGGGATCCCCTAGGGTTTATTGGGGATTCCTTAGGGATTCCTGAGGGTTCCCTGAGGGTTCCGTTAGGGATTCCCTAGGGGTTGATGAGGAAGTGCGCGCGCATGTTTTTTCATTAAAAAATGCGGTTGCGACATTCGTTCGTTGCTCAAAACCAAAATACCAGTGTTCTTGAAGATCGCTCTCGAATTCTTTACGAAACCAAATGTTTTGGACAGACTTCGACATGCGAGCGCGGCGGACGTGCGCGTGTGCTTGATCGGAATTCAGCCTGGATAGTGGTGGTGCTGCTGCTGCCCCTCCCCCTCCCTTCCTTCCACCCTTTATGAAGCTCCCTCTCCCCCTGCTCCTGTCGGGTCTGCTGCCGCCGTCTTTGCCGTCTGAGTTTTTAGCTTTCGTCAGGAGTCGTGAGGGTCCCTGAGGGTGTCTTAGCTGCACACGGGGCCGAAGAATGGGGTAGCGCACGGGGGACCTTTTCTGTGGAGGGGAAAAGCACAAATGACGGTGCACACGGGGCCGGAGTGTACGTTTGTCCACCGCGGGGCGACACCGCCGCTGATGGCTTCTAGCAGGGCCGGAGAAGTTGTCGTCACACAGCGTCTGAGGACGGGGCCGGAGTGTGCGCCCGTCCACCGGGGGAGTGACACGGGAGGCTCCGGCCCTGCCCGGGGCAGGAGTGTACGCCTTTCTGTTGTTCTTGTTGTTGTTGCTGCTGTTGCTGTTGCTGTTGCTGTTGCTGTTGCTGTTGTTGCTGTTGTTGTTGTTGTTGTTGTTGTTGTTGTTGTTGTTGTTGTTGTTGTTGTTGTTGTTGTTGTTGTTGTTGTTGTTGATGCTGTTGTTGTGGTTGTTGTCGTTGTTGCAGTTGTTGTTGTTATTGTTGTCATTGTTGTCATTGTGGTTGTTGTTGTTGTTATTAATATTATTGTTGTTGTTGTTGTTGTTGTTGTTGTTGTTGTTGTTGTTGTTGTTGTTGTTGTTGTTGTTGTTGTTGTTGTTGTTGTTGTTGTTGTTGTTTTTGTTTTTGTTTGTTTGTCAAAATGTGGCTCTCGCGTTGGCGCCGCGCACATTCGATTTCAAAAAATGCAAGAGTTTCACGGACAGGTCGTTTTCAAAATGTGGCTCTCGCGTTGGTGCCGCGCGCATTCGTAACCAAACTTAGCAAGAGTTTCACGGATTGGGAGCGGGCCGTTTTCAAAATGTGGCTCTCGCCTTAGCGCCGCGCGCACTTGGTTTAACTATTCGCAAGCGTTTCACTGATTGGTGGCACTTCTTTTTCAAGATGTGGCTCTCGCGGTCGTCATCACAATCTCCTTTTGGCGATCACTGGAATTTATATTCAAAGGGTTCCAGTGTAGAAATCTGAGCAACGTCATCGTTTAACCGCAGCGGCACTCCTGCCGAAAGTGCCCGCTGCGAAAGTTCGAATAAACGGAGTGTGTGCGTGTGGGGGGGACATCTCAAAGGTGGAAGTAGAAGAGGGAGTCATTCGTGTCACCTGGAGGAGGACAGGAGGAGGAAGAGGATGAGGTGACGATGGGCAGAGTAACTCCAGCACAAATCGTAAGAGCAACGGGGAAGGAGAACAAAGGGGAGAGGACGGAGGAAGAGGGAGATGATGAGGAGGAGGAAAACATCCTCCCTCCCTCCCTCCCTCTCTCCCTCCTCTTCCTCCTCCTCCTCCTCGAGGACCTCCCTGTGCAAGCAGTTCCTCAAGGGCAGGTGCCGCGCCGGCTCGGCGTGCCGCCACGCGCACAGCGAGGGGGAGCTCGAGGCCGTGCGGGCTGTGTGGGATCCGCCGCCGCTTCGTCGGCGACGGGTGCCGCCACCGCTGACGACGATGTCGATCGAATGCCCGAGGAGGTGGAGGAGGAGGAGCAGGAGGAGGCGCAGGAGGAGGAGCAGGAGGAGGAGGGGCAGGAGGAGGAGGAGGAGCAGGAGGAGGGGGAGGAGGAAGAGGAGGAGGAGGAGGATGAGGAGGTTGGATGATGATGATGCTGATGATGATGATGATGATGATGATGATGATGATGATGATGATGATGTTGATGATGATGTTGATGATGATGAATGATGATGCTGATGAGGATGATGCTGCTGCTTATGCGGATGATGCTGTCATGCTGATGATGACGATGATGCTGATGCTGCTGATGATGATGCTGCTGATGATGATGATGCTGATGCTACTGATAATGATGATGATGATGATGATGATGATGATGATGATGATGATGATGATGATGATGATGATGATGATGCTGATACTCATGCTGATACAGATGATGGTGCTGCTGATGATGATGCTGATGATGATGCTGCTGCTGATGATGATGCTGTTGCTGATGATGCTGCTGATGCTGCTGCTGCTGATTGCTGCTGCTGATGCTGATGACGATGATGATGAGTATGCTGATGCTGATGACGGTGATGATGATGATGCTGCTGCTGATGACGATGTTGCTGATGTTGCTGATGATGCTGATGATGACGACGATGATGTTGAGGATGATGATGATGATGCTGATGATTTTGATGATGATGATGATGCTGATGATGGTGATAATTCTGATGATAACGCTGATGCTGATGATGCTGCTGCTGATGATGATGCTGGTGATGCTGCTGCTGATGATGATATTGGTGATGATGATGTTGATGATGCTGATGCTAATGATGCTGCTGATGATGATGATGATGATGCTGATGCTGATGCTGATGCTGCTGATGATGATAACGACGACGATGATGATGATGATGCTGATGATGATGCTGCTGATGATGATGCTGATGCTGCTGATGATGATGATGATGATGATGATGACGATGATGATGATGATGATGATGATGATGATGATGATGACGACTATGATGATGCTGATGATGATGATGATGATTATGTTGATGCCGATGATGCTGATGCTGATGATGATGATGATGATTCTGATGCTGATGATTATGATGATGATGATGATGATGATGATGATGATGATGCTGATGATGCTGATGATGGTGATGATTATGCTGCTGCTGCTGCTCAGGAGGAGGAGGAGGAGGAGGAGGAGGAGGAGGAGGAGGAGGAGGAGGAGGATGAGGAGGAAGGAGGAAGGGAGGAGGAGGAGGAGGAGGAGGAGGGAGGAGGAGGAGGAGGAGGAGGAGGAGGAGGAGGAGAGGAGGAGGAGGAGGAGGAGGGAGGAGGAGGAGGAGGAGGAAGGAGGAGGAGGAGGAGGAGGAGGAGGAGGAGAGGAGGAGGAGGGGAGGAGAGGAGGAGGAGGAGGAGCGGAGGAGGAGGAGGAGGAGGAGGAGGAGGAGGAGGAGGAGGAGGAGGAGGAGGAGGAGGAGGGGGGAGTTTGAGGAGGAGGAGGAGGAGGAGGAAGAGGAGGAGGAGGAGGAGGACTAAGAAGAATAACAGTAATAATAATAGTAATAATAAGAAGAAGACGAATAATACTTACGAAGAAACATACACTTAATCATAAGTTCTAATAATAGGCATAAGCATAATAATACTATTATTGACCTTACTAATACTAATGCTAATGCTACGAATACGACTACTATCATCATCATCATCATTATTATTATTATTATTATTATTATTAACACTATCCATACTATTACTACTATTGACAATACTATCACGAATAGTATTAATAATACTAATAATACTAATGATAATACGAATACGAATAATACTAATGCTGTTACTAACAACAATGATACTACTAATAATAATAATAGTTATGCTAACGGAGTTCCCCACATAAAGAGATTAACGGTTTTGTGGGACCCATTTTCTTGATGCCCTCCTCGCTCAGGCGGGGCCTCCCTGGAGGGGTGGGAGGGGCACGAAACCATGTAAATAGTATGGTATTCCGATACCCTCCTCGCTCAGGCGGGGCCTCCCTGGAGGGGTGGGAGGGGCACGAAACCATGTAAATAGTATGGTATTCCGATACCCTCCTCGCTCAGGCGGGGCCTCCCTGGAGGGGTGGGAGGGGCACGAAACCATGTAAATAGTATGGTATTCCGATACCCTCCTCGCTCAGGCGGGGCCTCCCTGGAGGGGTGGGAGGGGCACGAAACCATGTAAATAGTATGGTATTCCGATACCCTCCTCGCTCAGGCGGGGCCTCCCTGGAGGGGTGGGAGGGGCACGAAACCATGTAAATAGTATGGTATTCCGATACCCTCCTCGCTCAGGCGGGGCCTCCCTGGAGGGGTGGGAGGGGCACGAAACCATGTAAATAGTATGGTATTCCGATACCCTCCTCGCTCAGGCGGGGCCTCCCTGGAGGGGTGGGAGGGGCACGAAACCATGTAAATAGTATGGTATTCCGATACCCTCCTCGCTCAGGCGGGGCCTCCCTGGAGGGGTGGGAGGGGCACGAAACCATGTAAATAGTATGGTATTCCGATACCCTCCTCGCTCAGGCGGGGCCTCCCTGGAGGGGTGGGAGGGGCACGAAACCATGTAAATAGTATGGTATTCCGATACCCTCCTCGCTCAGGCGGGGCCTCCCTGGAGGGGTGGGAGGGGCACGAAACCATGTAAATAGTATGGTATTCCGATACCCTCCTCGCTCAGGCGGGGCCTCCCTGGAGGGGTGGGAGGGGCACGAAACCATGTAAATAGTATGGTTTTCGGTATGGAGTGGTATGGAATGGTATGGTAGGTATGGTAGGTACGGTATGGTATGATATGGTATGGTATGGTACTGGAGGTATGGTATGGTATGGTACGGTATGGCATGGTATGGGGGTATGGTACGGTATGGTATGGTGTGGTATGGTATGGTATGGTATGGTATGGTATGTGTGGTAGGAACTATGGTATGGTATGGTGTGTGTGTGTAGGAATAACATTGTGCTGTATGGAAGATGGAGCGGGAGGTGGGTGGGAAGGAGAGGGTGTTCTGGGAAAACAAGAACCCCACTCAGGATGTGGGGAATAATAATAATAATAATAAGCATACTAATAATCATATTACTAAGAAAAATAATAAGAAGAAAACTAAGAAGACAAGTACTACGAATAATATTAATACTGATACTCGTATTAAAAAGAAAACAAAGACGAAGAAGAAGGTGGAGGAGGAGGAGGTGGAGGAGGAGGAGGAGGAGGAGAAGGAGGAGAGAGGAGGATGAGGGAGGAGGAGGAGGAGGAGGAGGAGGAGGAGGAAGAGAGGAGGAGAGGAGGAGGAGGAGGAGGAGGAGGAGGAGAAGGAAGAGGAGGAGGAGGAGGAGGAGCAGCAGGAGGTGGTGGTGGAGGAGGGGGATGGAGGAGGAGGAGGTGGAGGAGGAGGAGGCCCCTTCACCGCCCCTTCCCCCGACCTCGGCCGCGGCCCCGCCGCCTCCCCAGAAGAGCCTCCGCGCGGGCGCGGGCACGTTGGCCGGCAGCAGCACGGGCTCCGAGCCAGAGGAGTTGGGGCTTCTTTTTTCTTCGTCCTCCTCCTCCTCCTCTTCCAATTTCCTTCTTCTCCTTCCCCTCCTCCTCCGCCTTCTCCTCCTCCTTCTCCCCCTCCCCCCGCTGCTCTCTCCAACTTCTCGTCCTCCTCCTCCTCCTGTTCCTTCTCTTGCTCTATCCCTATTCCTCATGAATAACTCCTCCTTGTCGCACCCCCAGTCGTGTCGGTAGGGCGGGCTGCGCGTTTCGCTTGAGACACCCGCAGCATTTCTGATCCTGAAGCTTTCGATTTGCAGCAGTTTCACGGATGGAGGGCCGTGGTTTTCAACATGTAGCTCTCGCTTTAGCGCCGCGCACATTCGTTTAGCAAATTTGCAAGTGTTTCACGGACGGAGGGCGCGTGGTTTTCAAAATGTGGCTGTCGCCTCCGTACCGCGCACTTTCGCCTTAAAAGTTTGCAGCAGCCTCGCAGATGAAGGGCGGGCGGTTTTCAAACTGTGGCTCTAGCCTTAGCGCCGCGCGCGTTCGTCTTACATGGTTGCAAGGGTTTCACGGATGGAGGGCGTGTTTTTTCAACATGTGATTGCGGCCTTAGCGCCGCGCACGTTCATCTTCAGAGCTTTCAGCAGTGTCAAATAATCTGATGGTTGACTTCCCAGAAGTGGTGTATTCGGGCTGCCAGGGCGCAACAGTCACGTGGATTTGCGGTATTGAAGTTCCAGGATTGGTGTTCCGGCACGATACAGGATCGTCAGGACCCAACAATAACGTTGTTCGCGGCGCTGAAGTCCCAGGAATTGCGTTCTGGCACGGCTTATGATTTTCAAACGGGTGTGTTCCAACGGAGCATTTTTTCAGCGAAACTGATTCCCTGTAGGGACCATGCATAGGGAACTTGGAAGGATGGTTTACTGCAACATTGTTGATGAGTCTTGGGTTTGCGCTGGTCCTCTGTCCTCCTCCTCCCCCTCCGCCTCCGCCTCCTCCTCCTTTCCTCTTCCTTCTCCCCGTCCCCGTGATCTCCTCCAACGCCCCCTCACTCGAACAGGGTGCCTCGCTGGTATTTGGGCTCGCAGCTCTGGAGCGCGGATGTAGTAAGAAAGGTCAGCATTATTGCCGCCATGCTTTCTTACCGCCAACGACCCCCCGCAATTTTAGTTGGCACTGGGACTGGGAGCGGTCCCAGCTCGCGATCCACGGACACCGCGCAGAGTGCAATGTGGACGCACGTTCGCACTTACCTTATCCTCCGCATTGGTACCACCCTCCAGTCTTTGAGCAGCTTGTATGTACGGATGTTCTGCACACCTCACAGAATTCGCCCAAGTCATCCACAGGCGCGATGAGGCCAACGCCTCCGGCTGCAAGTGGCCCTGTGTCTGGTGCGCCGCTTCTTGGAAGACAAATGGCCAGATGTAGGGGTAATCGGTCCCGAGGAGGCATCCGTGCCTCCGCCTCCTCACCATCACGACTTTCCAGCACTGGTAGTAGGGCGTCATAGCTGTATTGCGCAAGTGGGTCAGTGCTTGGATTTGCATTGAGCGCAGTGGTGTTTGTTTGCATCTTTGTCATCACATGGTTGACGTTACTATGTCGGTACCCTCGCGCCTCATCGAGGTCTGACAAGATGGCCTTCGCCCCTGTGCAGAACCCAGTCCCCAGGCGCCTGCGCGGAAGATCTCCAATTTGGCACTATTGAGCAGTATTATCATCCCGTCTGTGTTCGCCTTGCTCTGGCTTATCTGCATGATACCTGATGCTGGGCCAGGCGGAGGCGGTGGCAGGGGTGGTATCACATGCTGCCAGCCACCTTCTTGGTCACCCGAACTGGAATCAGTCTACCCGTTCCGCCAGTCGGTGCGGGACCTATTCGCCTGGAGTGTACTCGCCACCAAAATTAGCAGCGCCCAGCAGGGTGCTGCCATCATCCTTCACCTCGGCGGTGTCGCTCGCGAACTTACACGTTCCATGAAACTCACGGATGTTACAAAGGGAGGACTGGTCAACGGTCAATGAGAAAGCGCCGTTACGTACCTCATCGCGAACTTCGCGACCGAGTTGGGACAATGTGGTGAAGAGTCACGCCTGCAGGCTACCAGGGACCTTCGAGTTCTCGAGGCGACGCAACGAGACCACCGATACATTGCTCTTGCGGTGTCTCGGACTGCGGTTCCTTCCGATGCGCAGCGGTGGAGCTGCGATGTCATGGGGGGGCTATGGCTGGCTGCTCCTCCGAGCGGCCAGCGTTGCCGCTGGTCAACTCATTGCCCTGCTCCAGCCTCGCGACAAGCGGTATCCAGCAACAGGGCCTCGGTCCAACAGTTTTTCGACATTGCCCAGGCGTGTTGGTCGCGTCGTGGATTCTGCGCCCAACGGCGTCGCCAGCGCCCTCCTTGCATCGCCATCCTACGTAGGCTTCGTAGGCGTAGCCGTCGGCGACAGTCAGTCATGGCGCAAGCGCAGTATACCTTTGGCACTCGCAAGGGTTTGACCCTTGGGCTGCTAGCGCCAGTGAACTCCGTTGCGTCGGAGGTGGCTACTCGTGCGCCGGCAGCTCTCAGCAGAGAGCTGCGCCGCTGCAGGCCGCGTAGTATGCTGCCGCGTGGCCGCGCGCCGAGGACGCGCCCGCCCACCTCGAGTGTGTTGGTGGCGCCCAGTCCGACGCCAGTTCAGGGCTCGGAGAGGCTGCCGATTGCGCAGTATATCAGTCTGGAGGTCTAGCCCCGGCTCAGGTCGGCGCCCCCGCAGTCCGGCAGATGAAGCGCCGCGCGCGTGAATGGCGACGCCGCGTGAACATGCCTACCGGAAGAGTCAGGAGGATCATCAAGAAGAGTAGGCGTTCGTTCGCTGGGAAAGGCAAAGGCAAAGGCCCGGGTGCGCAGACGTGCAGCTTCATCGCCGAGCTGACCGACGACCAAATCGACCGCGTCGTCTTCGGGTGCGCTGGCGAAATCAAGGGTGCAGGTAAGGGTTCCAGCGGGCGCGGCCAGGGCCGCAATATTATTCCCAATGGATGCGACGGACACCAATCGCATGTATCATCTGCGGATCGGAGTGCCGCGTCCGAGCTGAATGCGCACGGGCCAGCTCTGGGAGCTCAGGCGCCCAAGGAGGTGGGCCAAGTTTCGGAGGCTCAAGCCGACTCTGGCCCCATCGGCGGCGCCCTTGATGCCGGGTCTTTCCCTGGCATCTCAGGCGTTGCCCCCGTGGTCGCCGAGCCCCCTTCCACTGCGGCAGCCAGGGCCTGGTATTTCGCCGGCGTAGCCTGCCGCCGAGGGCCCCTGGCAGGTGCCCGAGCCCACGCGCGGCTCTTGGTCCTGCGGCGTCGCTGGACACGGTCCGGGGCCGCGCGTGCACCGGCGCGCCCGCCGTGCTACTTGCTACTCCGAAATTTAATGCAGCTGCGCCTGCGTCGGGGCCCCGACTTCCAGTGCTGTTTCCGTTCCCTGCGCTGCAGCCGCTGCCTCGGAACTGGCGCCGCCGTCGTCGAGTTCGTCGCGCCTGGGGGCCCGTGTAGCTCCGAGGGCGTCAATTCTATAGGGCCCCCGCGAGCTTCCAGTCATCCGTGGGCAATGCAGCGCGGGGGCCTCCATCCACCCGACGGGTCAGTCCGCGGCCCCCAGCGACCAGCGAGCCTGCGCGCCATGTTTCGGCCGATTCAGCCCCTGCGAGACTCCGGCCGGGCCAGCTCGGGCATGCCGCCGCGCCCGCGCGCCGCGCCGACGTGCCGGCCGCAGCTATCGCAAACGTCGTCATGCACGGCTTAGCCCCTGAAATCGCGGCGCGACTCATTGCGTCGGCAAGCCGCGAGACGGAGCGCGACGCCCGTGCGGGGCAACGCCGCGCGCATCGCTGTGGGCGGGCCCAGCAGGCGATCAGCGTTGTCGCGTCTGGGCCGCCGGCAGAATTGCCGCGGCCCGGGCCCGAACATCGATGGGCCGTGCCGGAAGCTACTGGCGTGGATGTGGATGGAGAGACCATGCGTGGTACCTGCCTGGATGAATGCACATTCTTTTGGATTTCTGTTTTATTCTTCAGCGTGGGCACCCGTGTCAGCAAGGCTGTGCTGGCGCCCGGGCCGCCGCGAGCCTCGGCGACCCTGCTCGGGGTATCTGGGGCCATCCATCGAGGTGGCCAGATGTTTGCGCCTTTTTCGCGGCGCGAGAAGTCGCGCGCACCCGCATTGCTTCTGCGCCTCGCCCAGCAGCCTCTGCGGTCGAGGCGCCAATCGCACCTCGGGGAGCTTATCTTCAGCGCGCCGGCATTCAAGTGGGGCAGCAGTCGCCGAAAGGCTCGCCACAGAGTGGTGGGCCCGATGTGCCAACGTACCCCGGTGACCCGCCAGCGGTCTAGCCGGCGAGCGCGCCGCTCAGGTGCGCCGCGGCCGTTCCCGGTTTACCGCAGGTGAGATCAGCGTGATCGTTGACCTGGGTGCTTGGACTAACTCGTGGAAGAGACGCTCGCGCGTCAGCAGTGCCGTCGCGCCGTCGATGCAGGGCGCCGGCCGCGGCGTCGCCTCTCGAGCAGACCCTTTGGCATCCGTGGTGTTGGCAAGTGAACGCAAGAGTGCGCCCATCAGGTGGGCGCCCCCTTGGCTGTCGCAGATGACCGGGGTTGCGCCGCACTCGGCAGCTTCGCGCCGCCCATCGCGCGACGTTCAGGCCGCGGGCTACCTCGGCACTGGGTCTACCAGTATGGGCCCTATGCGCGCAATCCTGGACACTGGCCCTTTGCGCGCGGCAACGAACGGACGCCTCGTCGAGGTCGTCGATGCCTTCGAGAGAGCCGTTCAGTCGAGTGGCGGAACCCCGTGCCGCTCGGAGCAGCTGCGCGCTCGCGCCGACGAGACAGAGACGGAGAGCGAGGGCGCCTCGCCGTCGGCGGCTGCTTTCCCCGCTGCGGAGGCTGAACTGCGGCCCGCCTTCGGCTCTCAATGGGCTGGCAGTCCCTCGCGGGCCGTCCTGCCGCTCCTTGCTGGGTGCCTATCGTGCGCGGAGCCTGCTTGCGCGATTGAGCCTGTGCCCAGCGTGGCGCGAGCTTGGGCAGCGTGCTTGGGGCACTCGCGCGATGCATCCTATTGCTCTTATTGCCGCCCGCCGCTCGGTACTTTCCAGCGAAATCGTTTGGCGCAAATCTGGACTTGTTTGGGTCGTGGTGCCGCCGGAACATCTTCGCCCTGTTGCAGTTTGCAAGCGCGCACTCGGTTTTGCCCATGAGCTCATACTTGCATGTGCTCTCAATGCTGCGCCGCGTGCGGCTCTGGATGTCGCCTGCAGTATTGCCGCGACGATTGAAGTCGCCGCGCCCCCGGCAGTTGGCACGGGGCCGGTCGCCGCCCGTCTCTGCCAGCTGGGGCTCGCGCCGGGGCCGCGCGCTTCATCGCCGCCTAAGATGGCGTATTAGATCGCGACGAGAAACTATCGCGGCGCCAACTTGCATTGCGCGTGCCCGCCAGGCCTCGCGCGCCGAGCCAGCGGGGAAGCAGCTTCTGGGCGACGCCAGGGGCCCGGCGCGTCGGGCGAGGGGCGCATCGTCCGAGCAGCGCAGACGCATGCTGAGCGAATCAGGGCACGAGTGCAGCAAAACTCGACGTGCGACTGGTGAACCAGCTTGGGTTAAAAGGAGCAGCGTATGCTGCTGCTCAGTCTGAGTCTGCGACGGTCAGGCCCACTAGCCCGGCTGCTCTGCTTGCGGGTGCCCGGCAACATTCTACTCGAACTGTTCGTCAGCCCGACAACCCCGATTCGAATGTGGGTGGCAATAACGGTTGAGACGAGCCCAGACAAGGTTTTTCCGAGGTGCTACCACCAGTACGAACAAGACGCCAACTACTGAATCTTGGCATGCAGGTTCCGACGGGGGCGCTGTGGCCCGCTGTCACGTGTTTATCCGAGCCGTTTTTATCGCGCCAGCTCGGACCAGCTGCCCTTTTCCAGTTGCCAGCCTGGCGCCAACATGAGTCGCGCACATGGGCCCAGCTCGTGATCCAGGCAGCTGTCTAACCGACGCATCCAGCTGGCAGCAAAAGAAAATCGGGCGCGAAACCATGCCCAACCAGTGGGCGGGTAAAGCCTCCTTCAAGGTGATTGCCCCCGCTGGCCCCCTGGCCTCCCCTGCGGAAGAAGCTATGTGAGCCGGGGAGTGCACGTCGAGGACACATTCGACGACGCCGGCGACGATCTATCAGGATTGGGAACAGTGGAAGCATAGGTAAAGCTGGCGCAAGACGTGCGTGGCGCACAGGACAGTGTGCTCATTGACGACGAGCACCTGGCCGAAGCCGTTGCGGCCGGGACCGCGGCCGGTCTCCGATCCGCGTTGTACATCCCGGTCCACCAGGCCGCTAATTTAGAGCAGGCCATCGCTATGGCCTCCAGGTGGAGCCAAGGGATGGACCTCTGTGAGATGTGCGGGGGCGAAGCCTGCACCTCACATATCGCCATGCGCCGTCAACTGAAGACAGGCAACGACTTCGACCTGGCCGACCTGGTGACCAGTTCCGTGGGCCCGCAAGAGCAACAACGTTTCAGGTACCTCAGGTCCAACTGTGTTCTGGTTGCGGAGCGGCACCATCATGCCCTGGACCTCCAAGTGCCTCTTCCTCCGCCTCCTCTTCCTCCTCCTCCTCTTTCTTTATTTTCCTTTCCTTATAGAAATCCGTTCCCTGTCGCGCCCCCGCACGTGTCGGTAAGGCGGGCTGGGCGATCGCCTCAGACTTCCTCACAATTTATGACCCTGAAGCTTGAAAATTGCAACAGTTTCACGGATGGGGGGCGGGCCGTTTTCAAAACATGGCGTTCGCTCCAGCGCCGCGGACATTCGTCTGAAGTAAAAATTTTGCAGCAGTTTCACGGATGGAGGGTGGGGCGTTTTCAACTTGTGGCTCTCGTGTCAGCGCGGCGCATACTCGTCTTCAACTGTTTGTGGCTGTTTCACGGATGGAGGACAGGGCGTTTTCAACAATTGGTTTTGCTTTAGCGCCGCGCGCGTTCGGCTTACATGTTTTTTTTCTCCAACAGCTTCAAGGATGGAAGGCGGTCCCTTTTTTTCA